GATACATTGCCACCTTTTTTGTCTTTTGTGCTGCCAGGCCCAATGCTTCTCGTTTTTCTTTTTCTTTTCGTTTCTTTTTTGTTTTTCGCTTTTTCTTTGTTGTTATCCCCGTGCCAGCGATGCTGGCTCTGTATGTGAATGTGGAAATGCACGGGCAGACGGGACAAGCAGGAAATGCCCGTTTTCTATGGGCCCACAAGCGTACTTGGCCGTCGCTTCACCAGGCTGCCCCAAGCCTCAAATTTCTCTTGTGGCGACAAGTTTACTTTTCTGCAAGGCTGGGGGCGTGTACTGGTGGTTTAAAATTAACGAGGAATTTCAACGGGACCTTCAGCCAAAAACTGCAATTTAACATTTTCTTTGATTTGTTTTTTCTTTTCTTCTTCTTTTTTTTTTCAATTATGCGCTGGGGTTGCCCAGGACTCTGCCCGGCCCCTGCCCGCCCCGGGCTGCCTGGAAGGGTACTCGGGTGAACTTCCACCACACAAACAACAGAAGACAGAGATGAAACACCCTGCCCATACATGCAACTGTTAACAAACAGATCAGGAGTTTGAGTCCTCATCAAATCACATGCACAGAACGACAAAGTTAGGGGCTAGACAGAGTATGGAAAGGGATCTGACAAGTGCACGCTCACCATCTTCAAGGAATAGAATCTTCCCGGAGAGCTCCTCCTGCCACGGCGTTCCAACAAGTGCTGCAATGAGGGATAGGTTACCCCCCACCAGAACACCCTGGACCTTCCCGCCAGACTCTGCGGCGTTTCCCGTCTGCAACCGAGTGTAGCAGCAACCCTGCCAAAACCCCCACACCCATCACACAGAGCATCTCAGAGGCCAGGTCAGGTCAGGTCACAGACAAAGTATTACACATAGCCAACTACGAAAGAAGAAATGGACATCAATACTAGGCTGGGCCGCCGCCCGGCCGGTTGGCCGGAGGGCTCCGCCCGGCGAAACCGGGTGACACAAAAACACAGCAAGGAATTTTTTTTATTTTTTTTTTGAAGGCGGGGTCGAATCTGCAATCCAGATGTGTATAAGAGACAGTCTATATACAGCAGA